GACACACACAGGGAAGACCATGTGAGGACACAGGGAGAAGGTGCAGTTTGCAAGCCAAGGACAAAAACCCTAGAAGAAACCAATCCTGCTGATACTTCAGTCAAACCCTGCCAGCCTCCAGAATTATGAGACAGTAAATTTCTGTGGTCCATGATTTTCTTGGCAAAATAACACACTATCCTTGTTTTACTCAGTATAACATTTACTTAAAAGTTGACACATGTTGAAGCATATGTTAGTTTCATTTCTTAGTGTGGTTAGGTAATATCTCATTGTATGCAAAACTACATTTTGCTTATCTGTTCATTTTCTAAGAGATAGCTGGATTGTTTCCAGCTTTGGCTGTTGTGAACCATGCTGCTTTGAACATGGTGTGCAATTATCTGTGTGATACTCCAAACAATATCTTTCCATCTAAGAAGGGCTGAGCTTACTGTAACTTGCTTTTCTCACTTAGATTTCAATTCTTGGGGCTTTCATTGACACTTGAGTCTTTGCTGTATTTTCCATATCCCTCAACTCCTTTTTGATGATGATGTAATCTTTTTTTTCCCCAAATGGTGTATACTTTGGTTGATGAAAGAAGTCACAGGTGTAAGACAGCTGGGGTCAAAGTCATACAACACTGTTCTTGATTGTATACTATGAACCAGTTGCTTGACTTCCCTGACCCTTGAACTTGTATAATGGTAAGTGAAAAACTGTTCTGCCTTCATCTTAGGCTTAAAAGCCATTTTATAGTAAAGAAAAACTAGGTCAATTCCTGTTTATGATCAAACCTCTGTTTCTCAAGGATTGAGCTATGCCCCGCATGTGAACTTAACTACAAATGGTCTGTATTGCCTGTTGCAGGAAAGACAATCATGTCTTTGTTTAAAAAACTTGTTTATAACCATCTTGCAAACCTACCTTTGTTTCAAAAGGTTATGTGACCACTCATGACCACCTTGTTATGTCTACCTTGCAACCATGTCTTTGTTTCAGGATGTTGTTAGGACTAACTTGTTTGTCCTGCTCTTATAACCTGGCCTATTTTTCCCACCAAATCCCCCATTTGGAAACCCTTCTACTCCTGAGCTATAAAAGCCTTGTCTTTCTTACATCCAGTACTGACCTCAAACCCTACCTTAGGGGGAAGATCACGTATATGAATAAAAAAGCTTGCTTTCATTAATTGCTTGCTTTAATTTGGCTGTGATGATTTGGGTCAGTGGTCTTTCTCTTCCTGCCTTTGGGATTAACAGAAAGGATGTGCCTGCTTCCCACGATGGGCAAGACACTGAGCACAGAGAAGGCATTTTTCTTTACTGTGACCAACTGTCCTCTCCTGCAGTGATTCCTCAGCTGAGTACATGACTGTGAGACTTGGTTTAGAAAGAGAACATGGAGGCTGTGGAGATGGCCTAGTGATTAGGAATGCTTGCTGCTTTCCCAGAGGCTGTGAGTTTGGCTCCTATCACCCACCCTTAGAATTGGTTCACAACCTCCTGTAATTCCAATGCCTTCTTCTGGTCTTTTGGTAACCCCCATGTTGCATACATGCCCATGTAGCACACACATACATGCACACATATACACACACATGCAGTCCTAAGTTAAAGAAAAATAAGTTGCAGATGAAAATTTCTGGCTAGAGTAAATATCATGGTTTTGAGTCTGAAGCCAGTGGTAAGTCATAATTCTTTCTCAGGCCATTAGCTGGCTCTCGAATGAGGCATGTTCATATTAAAGAAGACGATTTCTTTTCATCACAGTCCCTCTCTTTTTAAAATCAGTCGTAGAGATTAAGCCAAGGTCTTTCAGCATGCTAAGCCAATACTCTACCGCTCTCCCAACCCAAGATCTTTACTTCAAATGTTAAAAATACCTTCCTAGTAACATCAGATTAGTGTGAGACCAAGCAACTGACACCATGGTCTAGCCAAGTGGAAACTAAATCCACCACCACAGCTAGTAACTTGGTTAGTTTCCTTCAAGTTGAGTTATAGATTCATTATAATTCCCATTAAAATTAAAGAATACATAAAAAATTAGTGGGCTCACCTGAAATGCACAATATCGTTGTGCAGATGAACTAGCTTCATTTATAATTGTGCAGTGACTTACTGACAATGTTGAAAGGTGAGTTCTCATAGCTCTCTGACTCTAAAAGATGGGTTCCACTTGCTGTTGTGTATTAGCTTAATATTCCATTACAGGGGTAGATTTATATCCTACAAGACATAACTAAATACCAATTTGTAGTCAATCACAATTGTGCATTTAATGTATCTTGAACATATTAAATTATTTCTAGTCCCATGTGATTTTAAAAGAACTGTTTTTTTTTGGTTTTCATTTTTGTTTTTTGTTCTTGTTCTTGTTTTTGTTTTTTGGAGACAGGGTTTTTCTTTGTAGCCCTAGCTGTCCTTGAATTTTTTTTGTAAACCAGCTGGCCTCAAACTCAGAGAAATCCACCTGCCTCTGTCTCCTGAGTGCTGGGATTTAAGGGGTATGCCACCACACCTAGTCTGAGAACTTTTTGTTTTTTTGTTTGTTTGTTCTGTTTTTGTTTTTCAAGACAAGGTTTTTCTGTGTAACAGTCCTGGCTGTCCTGGTACTTGCTTCAGCCTTGAACTCATTGAGATCCACCTGCCTCTGCTTCCCGAGCTGGAATTAAAGGAATGCACCACCATTGCCCAGCTAACTTCTGTTTCTTGAAGGACATTTAAGTCTAGGAAAGAATATTTACAAGCTTATATTTGATAAAGGGTTTGTATGCAGCATATATGGACCAAAACTGAGCAAAAGATCTCATAATAAGTGAACAAAGAATTCAAACAAGCCTTTCATTAAAAAAAAAAAAAAAACAACTAAGGAAATAGGTAGTAAGTAAGTGAAAACATTAACATTATTTGTTATTAGGGAGATACAAGTTAAAACTGCAATGAAGTGAGATGGCCCAGCAGGTAAAGGCATTTGCTGCCTAGCCTGTTGACCTGAGTGCAATTCCCAAGAACTGTCTTCTGAGCGCTGTGTACATCATGGCATGTGTGAGAGAGTGTGTGTGTGCGTGCACACACACACACACACACATACACACACCATCAGGTGCTCATTCATGCACACACTAAAAATAATTGTTTAAAAACAGAAACCTTAGCTGGGGGTTGGTGGCACATGCCTTTGATCCCAGCACTTGGGAGGCAGAGTCAGGAGAATCTCTGTGAGTTTGAGGCCAGCCTGGTCTGCAGAGCAAGTTCCAGAACAGGCTCTAAAAAAAAAACAAAAACACTGTCTCCAGAAAAAGAATGAAAGGAAGGAAGGAAGGAAGAAAGGAAGGAAGGAAGGAAGAAACCTTGCAGTGAGCTATACCTGTAATTTAAAGAATGACTAAAGGTAATGGGCTAAGGCATGGCTCAGTGATGGAGTTTCTGGCTAGCACATGGAAGGTTTTGAGTTCCATTTCCAGGACACCAACCAATCAAGTGTTAGGCTGGGAAAGGGCTGAAATTCTAGTGCACTTTTGGGAACATAAAATAGTAAATAACCTTGGGAAAAGTTTAAACAGATATCATATAACCCAACTATTTTACTCCTAGGCAGTTACCCAAGAGAAAGCTTCTATCTGTATAGTGATATGCATATAAATATTTATAACAGCTTTATTTTTAATAGTCTAATCTTGGAAACAACCCACATGTCTATCGGCAAGGTTGTAATAACCAACTATAGTATATTCATACAATGGGAAATTACTCATTGATAAAAATGAATGAGCTGTTAATACAATGTAAATAAATTCCAAAATAATTCTGCTAAGTGAATGAAACAAATATAGAGCATTGACTTCATTTACAATGCAAACTAACCTATATTTACAGTAAGGACATTAAAGGTTTCCAGACTGTGAGAGAAGAAATCTGTTCATTATCTTAATTGTCCTGGTATATATGACATTGCAGACATAGGTCAAATTTAAATCATTTGTACCCTTTAAATAGGTATAATGTACTAGGTGTGGTGGTACACACCTTTGATCCCAGAATTCGGGAGGCAGATCCTTGAGTTGAGATCAGCCTGGTCTACAGAGCTTATAAAAAATGTAAAACACAAGGGATAGGAATATGGCTCTCTGGTAGAGTGTTCTGGCATGGTCTAAGGCCTGTGTTCAATTTCCAGTACAATAAAACAAACTTTGAGAGATGTAAAATCCCTAGCACATAACAGATGTCTAGTTTACTTTTAGTTCACTTACTCCATGGCTGGTTGCTACCTCCTCCTTTCCTGGTGACACTGTTCCCCTAGACACACAAGCCAGCATCTGTTGTCTCTCAGCTTCCTACAACTGGCTTTCAGGGCCACCGCAAACCCAGAGGAAGACTGAATCAAACAGCCCTTTGCAGAGGTGACTGAACAGTCTGAAGCTCCTGCCCACTGGAAATGGATTTGTCCTTCCACCTCCAACTGACATCACATCCCTCAGGCGCTTCTCTGAGTCCCCTTTCCCCCCTCTGCTCAGCATTCTCTGTGCAGGGGCCAGGAAGGATAGGCTTGTAGTCATAGACCTCAAAGGTGAGATGCCGAGGGTTTTTCTATTTGCTAGATTGCCAATCAGTGACTATCAAATAGCATTGGTTTCGATTGGACTGATAGTTCCTTCATTTGGAGGGAGTTCCATGTCTCGGACGTGTCTGAGACTTTAGGTCAAGGCAGCAAATATTCTAGGAAGACTCAAGTTCCCAACTCCTGGCCCTCAGCCCAAGGGCCATCTCATTTATCCCTTAGCCCCTTCCCAGAACCAAACGATTCAGGGCTTGTGGGGAGAGGCCAGTTCTGGGCTCTGGCTTCCAGTGCTTGAGGCTAGGGCAACACATGCAGTAGCCCTGGGGGTCTGGGCTTCTTCCTCATCATGTTTGCCCAGTTGCCCTAGTGACTGTGTGACCCTTCTCCCCGCCCTCCACTGCCTGCTGTGGCAGCCTGCACCCACCATATAAATAGAGATGAGGAGCAGCTGGGCTCTCTTGGCAGTCACCATGAGGGCGCTGCTCCTGCTCTGCTGCTGCCTGGCCTCGCTGCTGCTTTCAGGACAAGCAGGTATGCCCCCCTGCACAAATGGCTCCTGTGGGGACCCTGATGTCCCCAAGTTTTTATTGGCATAAGGGGCTGGGCTGATGGCAGAACTTTGCTTCTTATTGGTATCACTGTCCTTCTCACAAGGGCTTGGGACAGAGGATGAGGTGCTAGAGAGAACTGGGGGCCTGTGAGGGGTTCTAAGTAGAAATGAGAGCAGATGGCTCTGAGGTCTGGGCCAGGTTGAGAGAAAGGAGTCTGGTTGGAACATGCTGGAAAGAGGACCCTCAAAGTCAAGCTAGAGGGATCTTCCACCTGGATGTTCTGAGTTACCCCCTTGGTGGGAGATAGGACTGTGTTCTAGCTAGTGATTTAGGTTTGCATGTCCTTGGACAGAGTGAAACACTTAGGCAAATCTGGGAATCATTTTATGAACAGTGGGACGGAATTGGAGTCAGGATAGGGTAGAATTGAACATAAAGTTGAGAATTGGTGATTGTGTTGGAAGCCATTTGACAGAATGCAGAGAGGAACAGAGGAAACCTCCCATGAGGGGCAGGGTCTTCCATCGAGAAGGGGGCTCTGCTCTGCACCGTGGCTTTCCTTTGATACCTCAGCACTTTGTGTGACAGAGGCGGTGGCTTGGGTTGCAGCATGGGGATTATTTATAGGCTGTGGAGGGGACACCCGATCATTTTGCCACCTCTCTTGTTCTTAAGACTCCCAAGGCTGGCTTCCCTTTGGAGATTTTCTGGGGGAGGTGCTCTAAGGTTCCCCCTAGGGATCTAGGACACCCCAGTTTGTCTCCTGTACCAGCACTTAATCTTTGCACATGAGATAGTGAGGTTTGCAGGTCTGGTCTCAGATCTTTAAGGTTCTGTCCCATGAGACTGTGGAGCTACAGAGGCCTAGTGAGAGAACAAGCATCAGGAGGAACAAAAGCCATTCTTTGGGGGTACAAGAGATAAGACGGGGGGCCTTGGGCCATTGAGCTTGCTCCTGGGCCCTGCCCTTGTCTGCCCTTGAGTTAATTTGGTCTGCGGGGCTGTGGTGGCTGGAGTGGTGAGTGTTCCAAGCGGCTGTCAGGTGGCTAAGTATGGAAACAGCCCTGTAATTGGATCCTGAGCTCAAAGCCACTGCCACCCTCTCCCCTTCCCCGCCCCTCCTCTGCTGGGTCCAGCCCCAGCTGCCACCTTGAAGCTTCCACACAGCAGAGTCCCAGGAATTTCTGTCCTTTTAGGGACATCTTTTATTTTCTCTTCATATAGAGGGAACTGGATATCCAGAATATTCCAAAAGCTCTGCTCAGAGCTCTTGCTGTGGGGAAAAGAGGCGTGTGCTTTGTGTGAAGTCTTCTCCAGGCTGTTACTTTCCTGCACCCAGCAGTATGAACCTGTCCGTTAGTGTGCAGACTCTCCTGCCTGCTCCTTCCAGCTCAGTGGCCACTACTCTGCCCAGATGTAGACTGTATACTGTAAGGTGGCTGCTGCTTGAACTTAGTGGGAGGTTACAGGACATCAGATTGTTTCCCCACCCCCTTACAATAGCAATCTTTCCTAGTGATGGATTTCCCCCCAGAATTTGCCATCCTAGTCAGATCATGTCTTTGTGCCTGAACTTCTCTCTCCACTCTTCCTCCTGTCATTTTGCTCTGCCCTGGGGCTGGAAGAAGCAGATGTCTTCTCTAGCCCTATCACCATTTCCAAGGGTAGGAATCCTGGAACACTGTTTTCCCCGTCCCCCTATTACTCCCATGTTTCCTCTAAACTGGGTGGTTGACTCTGAAGCCCCGTTGCCTCTTCTTCCTATTAGGAGACCCAGCATCCCTGTTTCTCTAGCCACCCATCACAAGTACCTACACCAGGACTTGGTACAGCCATGGGCTTCTGTCATCAGATACCTCTGGTCCACCCTTGTCCTGCTGCCCTGAGTTCTTTATAATTACTCAAGGGCTTTCCATGGTCTATGCACCTGGTAGGGATAGAGGTTTCATCAACCCTAAAGATGATTTAATCAATGTTTTCTTGGACAGTGAAGGAGAGGAGAGCCCAGAGAAGTGAAGGGGCGTTTTCAATCAGTGACAGAGGCACATGCATCAATACTGTCAGCACTCCACTGGGGAACTGTGTTCCTGCCCTGCCTGCTTCCTCTGTCAGCTCCTATGGGTGGATGTGAGAAGGGGCAGGGGATGAGGCCACCAGGAAGTTCCTGAGAATGTTGCTTTGGAGCCTTTGACTCCCTGGAGGGTTGGGCAGGGGGTGATGCTAAGAAAGCATTTGTTAGGGATGGAGCCATTGGTGTGGATTGCTAAAGGCTGATTCCTGTTCCTTATCAGGGATTTGGGGGTTTTGTGTCCATTCATTCTCCATCCCCATATACATCTCAGCCCTGGTTTGAAGAACTTTGACTCTTCTCTGTCCCCCCCCCCCACCATCCCAATGGTAAGGGGTTGGTGTATGCTGGGGTTTCCTGTCTATAGGCCTAGGGCAATGTGTCCATGTCACTCCTTGAGGCTGACACTCCTATAAGGCTGGCATATCCAGAAGGAAACTTCCTTCCTTCTTTCTTCCCTCTCTTCTCCCTCCCTTTTCTTTTTGGTTTTTCAAGACAGGGTTTCTCTGTGGCTTTGGAATCTGTTCTGGAACTCACTCTTGTAGACCAGACCAGGCTAACTTCAAACTCACAGAGATCTGTCTGCCTCTGCCTCCTGAGTGCTGGAACTAAAGGCGTGCACCACCAATGCCCTGCTAGGAAACTTCCTTTCTGACTCTTTCACAGGGAAGTTCACCTGCTACTGTCTTCTACTGGGAGGCTTTAAGAGGAGTGAATTCAGGTTTCTTGGAGAGAGAGTTGACCTCAGAGGTCTTTCTAGCTCCCAAAGTGATGTCTCCTGATCTTAGCTTGTAAAAACTGGACAAGCCCAAGTGTATCTTGTCTTCCCATTTTCCATATGGAGTCTGTGAAGTGCTATGCCAGGATATGCTTATGGATGCATCTTTTTGAAACAGTGACACCTTTCCTAGTGCCACGAGAGCTGTAGTTCGAGAAATTCCGATCTTGTCCCATATATGAGACAGCTAGTTCATGGTGAGCTGGAACCAGGATTCAGGCCTCTCTCTTCTTTTCCTGTGCTTTTGCTCACTTATCTCCTGAGGGAGGTGAAGAGAAGGCCAGTTGCAACCAGCTGGCCATTTGGTGCCTGCTTGTGAGTGTAGACTGAGAAGAACTCAACTCCTGTGAACACAAAGGAAGATAAGATGGCTGCTTTTGCTGCCAGCTTGGCCTGAGAGAGTGATGAGGCTGGGTGCTATGCATCTGGTTGGAATGAAGGTACAGCTGGGAGACTGTGACATACAGAACAGGGTCTGTTACTGTGGGAATGGGAACATTCTCTGCTTCTAAGCCAAGTCTAAGCCTGTTGTGTAATGTTGCTCCAGTTTTGGAGCCTGTCTTGGAACTAGCTTTTTAGACCAGGCTGGCCTCAAACTCACAGACATCTGCTTCCCTCTGCCTCCCAAGTGCTGGGATTAAAGGCCATGTGCTACTAACACCTGGCTTGCCTGCTGTTCTTTAAAGTATGATAACTGGAGGAATTTGGGAGACATTTTGGCATGCCTTTGGTCTAGAAGGAAGAGAGAAGACAGCTTCCTCTTCACAGGTATCCTGGGCTGATAAGACACTGTTCCCCTGTCATAATGGAGAGTTGAGAACGTAAGAAGCTGAGGTAGGGTTATTGAGGTGAGTGAATTGAGGAATATCTTTTTTTTTAATGAAATAAATGATATTTACACTTATTAATTAGGGGGGGCATGCATGTGCCACAGCATGAATGTTAGAGGTCAAAGGACAATTTTTGGGTGGCTATCTAATTAAGGTCATCAGGCTTGGCAGCAAGCACCATCACCTGCTGAGCCATTTGCTGACCCCGAGGAGTATTTTATTTTCTTTTTAGATTAAGGAAGATGAAGCTGGATCTTAAGGAAAGCAGGGTTCAAACATGAGGAGATAGCAGAAAGGGAATGTATGTAAAGGGAAGAGGGTGAGCCACCTTCATGCAGTGAAGTGTGGATGGCCTTGCATGGTGGCTGAGGAGGAAGTTCATTCTGTGGACAGGGGTATGTAGTGGGATATTCACTTTGTCTCCTTCTGTGGCACTGACCACGCCCATTGGTAACCATAGAGGACTTGGGAAAATGGACCTGGTAATGTTGATCGGAAGGGGTACGGTTGAGGGAAACTGCCTTTCAGCCACATCTGGAATGTTAGAGAGCATTGATCCTGCAGACTTGTGACTAGGAAGAAGAGGCAGCCCTAACAGAGTTAGGGTTCAAAAAAGCCAGACTTCTCAACCTGAACAGGCTGCAGGAAGCCCTGACAGGCTTCCTTTAGGTCACTGGAGGAACTGCAGGAAAAGGCATCACTTTGTAAGAGAGAACACAGCCTAAATATTCAGTTTGGCCGAGTGTGGCGATATATGACTTTAATTCTAGCACTCGGGAGACAGTGGCAGGTGGCTCTTCCTAGTGAGTTCCAGGCCACAAAGTTCAATTTGGGTCATTTGAGTGCCACAGACCATAGGACATCTGAATGAGGATTAAAAGTGGTTAGAAGGGGCTGGAGAGATGGCTCAAAGGTTAAGAGCACTGGCTGCTCTTCCAGAGAACCTGAGTTCAATTCCCAGCAACCACATGGTGGCTCACAACCATCTGGAATGAGATCTTGTGCTCTCTTCTGGACTGCAGGGATACATGCAGACAGAACACTGTATACATAATAAATAAATCTTAAAAGTGGTTAGAAAGATGAGGTTAGACTGGATATGTTGACACATGCCCATATTCCCAGTACTTGGGAGACAGAGGTAGGAAGATCATGAGTTCAAGGTCATCCTAGGCTAGATAGAGGGTTTCTGTATTACACACACACACACACACACACACACACACAAAAAAAAAAAAAAAAACCAGAGGAAATATGGGACTGGAGTCTAGGGCTATATGAAAATCAGGCCTAGAAATGTAGAG